TCAGGAGCTGAAAATGAAGACCCTGTAGAATGGCTCACTACATTTGAAAGAGTTGCTATTATCAACAGATGGATCAATAAAGCATGAAAGAAAGCCCTTGCTGAAGGACACCTTAAGGATGCAGCAGCTGACTGGTTTAACAGTGCTACTACTGCTATAAGTCTACTTAAATACTAGATCGAGACTATACCCAAGAAATGCTGTGTCGAAAATAAAAGAGGACCAGTAAAGTTTCAAAATCCACCTAAAACTAAAATAACTATTGAAGAATTAGATATGGAAGAATCAACACTAGAACCTGTAATTGAATCAATTAGGACTGAAAAAGTGTTAAAAACTCCTAAAGAAGATTGTTACCTACTCCTATTGAATAACTAACTGAATTTAATGTCTCTACTTATTTACAAAATTTACTATGTGGATTATCAGTAGGATAGGCCGCATATGCTATTCCTAAATATCGTTCTGGTTTAGCTAAAGCTGTCAGACATTCAAGGGAAAGAGCTACTAATAAAACTAAGGAAGCTAACCTAGTGAAAAGTGATGATGAACTAACCTCTGCCACGAAGTGTACTTTAAGGATTGGACAAAAAACTCAAATTGCAATTATTGATAGTGGAGCTGCTACTAGCATCATAACTAAAGCCTTAGTGAAAAAATTGGGATATAAAATAAGTTGACCCTCAAAAATAATAGTAGTAACAGCAAACAGTGCAAGAATTCATTTTCTCAGAATCATTGATAACATACTAGTGAAGATTGGAAAAATTAATGTACCTATCTCTTTTCAAGTATTTGAATCCAAAGACAAAATCCTTATATTTGGAAATGATTAGCTCAGAATAACTAATGCTACTATGAGCTAAAAACAATCCATCTTTACTATTAAATGGGATAGAATTACCATAAAATTCCTATTGCCTTTACTAAAATAGCTAAAGTTATGATTCAAGAAGTTGAGGATGAATATGAAAGCAAAGAATATGAGGATGAATATTTAGAAAAGTATCTTATTTACTTATCTGATGATGTTGATTCAGAAGAATTAGAATTAGATGATGAATTAGGATTTAACCAGTGGTTTGACCACTACTCCCTTATTCAATCTGAAAAAGATACTAATAATAATGAAAAATTAGATGAACAGTTAGAAGATAACCCAGCTGCCTATCTTGATGAAAACATAGAATACTCTGTTAAAATTGATCCAACTTACTTAGAGCAACTAGGACCTTTAGATTACCACTAACAGCAGACTTTTATGAATCTTCTGGAAGAATATTATGACATTTATGCTAGAAGTCAAATTGAGATAAGACGAATAACAGAAATTAAGCACTGTATCTATATTAGAACAGCTATGCCAATTGCTTAAATACCATATTGAACAAATCCTGAAAATACCAGATTTTTGAATCAAGAGCTAAAGAAAATGGAAGATAATAATATAATTCGACTTTTCTATAGTTTATGGGTCTTATCTATCATAATTGTAGAAAAGAAAAAAGGCGAAAAAAGATTATGTGTTTATTATTGAAAAGTCAGTGTTGTCACAAAAATTGATGCATATCTATTATCAAAAATTGATGACTTATTGAATTTACTAGGTGGAGCAAATTGATTCACTACTCTCGACTTAGCTAGTGGTTATTGGCAAGTAGCAATGCATCCTGACGATATTGAGAAAACTGCTTTTATTACAGCAAATAGATTATATGAATTCTTAGTCATGCCTTTCAGTTTAAACAATGTATTTGGAACATTTCAAAGACTCATGAATTAGGTTCTTAAAGATTTCTTTAGATTATTTATGTCAGTTTACCTTGATGAAATAATCATATATACAAAAGGACCTTTTGAATTATATATTGACTATGTTAAACAAGTATTTCAAGCTTTTAGGAATGCTCATCTTACAATAAAACTAAAGAAATGTTATTTTTGTCAACCTTTCTTGACATTCTTAAAACATATCGTAGGACAAGAAGGAATTCAACCTGATCCAGAGAAAATCAAGAAGATTGAAGAATTTCCAGAACCAAAAAGCTTAATTCAACTACATGTTACATTAGGACTATTTGGTTGTTATAGAAAATTTATTAAAGATTTTGCATGACATATTAAACCCTTGACCTTATTATTAAAGAAAGATCAGCCTTTTGAATGAAAAGAGAAACAGTAACATGCCTTTGATCGACTAAAGAAAAGGCTTATCAAGGCACCAATCTTACAGTATCCAGATCTTGAAATACCTTTCACCTTGTATACTGATGCTTCAAAAAAGGATTAGGCGCTGTGCTATCCTAAAAAAAGAATAAAAAGGAGTATTTTATCGTATATGCCAGTAGATCAATTAATAAAACTAAGGAAAATTATCCCATCACTGATTTAGAGTGTTTAGCAATTGTTTGGTCAATTAAATATTTTCAACATTATCTTAGTTGACCATTCACTGTCGTAACTGATTATGTTACTTTAAAATGGTTGAAACTTCAAAAATGCCAAAAGGAAGACGTGCTAGATGGATCATGGAATTATAATAATATTATTTTACTATTGAATATAGAGCGGAAAAACATAATGCAAATGCTGATACATTATCTCGAATGTATGATAAAGAAATTGCTGAGTGTTTCATTATTGACCTTACAGAGACAGATATAGCTGACGATGAAGATAAAAATACTAGTATGACAGAAAAAAATGTAGAATGGCACATTTCTCCTCTTGAATTTGGAGAAAGTGATGAATGGTTTGAAGAAGAATTGTCTTGACAATACTCTAATATCGTTCTAATTACTACCGTTGGTTATAAATCTCCTAACGATGAATTAGAAGAAATCTATCAGGAAAATATAAAGATTAAACAAGTAATCACTGGACAGCCTATCACTAGAGAAGGATTACAATGTACTTTCTCATGCGATACTGAAAACCATCATGTTCATACATATTGCAAAGCGTGTAAAAAGAATTTATTATATAGAACTATCATACATGATTGCATTATTAAATATGGTTTACGAAAAATTCAACCAGACATGAAACCTGAATATTTGACCAATGACCTTTAGTAGAAAGAACCTCTCTTAGTACTATAGATGAGGAACGAAACCCCTTAATAACAGTTAAAACTTAGACAAAACTATATTAAAATCATAATAAGGGATACGATGAAACCCATTCGATACGACAAAAGTTAAAACTGTCGAAACTATATTAAAACATAGAAAAGGGTATAACGAAATTATTTTGAGAAGGTTTCAGCAGGCATCTATACTTAGTACAACAAGAAAACCTTCATACGCAATTACATTTTTACCTTGGTAACATCAATAATGCATCTCTTTCTCCCTCTTACTAAATAAACAACTAATATAATATAAAAGAATTAAGTGAAAGTGAAAGTATTTACAGTGTGATAAACAGCTTAAATTCTTAACTATAAAATAATAACAATATAATCAACTATTTAATTATTTAACTAACCAAACTAACTCCACCACTTTTAATCAAACATAACAACACAAATTGACTATACTATCAAAACAATATATTATTAAACACAATTAACTATACAAAATTAACAAAAATAACCTAAATAATCTAATTAGAATACTCAAGAAAACAGAATTAAAACCCGCCCTTTACATGTTTCATAATGATCTAACTGCCATACACAATGTGAAAGTGGGGGTTTGAGGACAGAATGTCCGATCTCCACTGAAACATAGTGTGTGTGGGCCACAGAACGTTAAAAATATTATCGTTTTTTTTATTATATTAGAAAGCTTCTAACGGCTCTAGAATCTTATTTTTCGATATTATATTTTTTAATT